CTCACCCCCTTCCGAACCCTCTCCCCACCCCTTCGCTTGCGAGAGGAACGAGAGAGAGCGCGCGCGCACACACACACACACACATATTTACGTACGTACGATCACACGCGCGCACAACCCCCACCACTACCACCACCGTTGCTGCTGCTGCTGCTGCTACTACCCCTTTTCGATATCCTTGCTACGTAGTATTATAGAGAGAGAGAGAGAGAGAGAGAGAGAGAAAGCAACCATCCCCCGAACGCGACGCGAGAGGGAGTTCGAGTTCCTAGCTCCAGTCCCTCACGGTTGCAGTGCGTTCCCAAACACCCGTGAGACAACCTCGAACTTTCCCCCGACGTAAGCAACGTAACTAAACGCACGCACGCACTCACTCACTTACTCACTCACTCACTCACTCACTCACTTACTCACTTACGCATTTAATTATTTATTTAATTCGTTAATTTGCTCACTCGCGTATGTGACGTTAACGTTTTCTAAGTGCAAAAGAGTCACGAGGAAGCATCAGTTTTTTCCTATTTTTTTTTCTCTTTACGTCGCGTTCTCATCTTTCTTTTTTACTCTTCCTTGTTCTCTCTCTCTCTCTTTCTCTCTTATTGTCTTTTTCTTTCTCTTTTATATGGAATTATAGTTCGAGGAGCTCTCTCTCTCTCTCTCTGTCTGTTTCAAACTTTGAGAATGGTTAACTTTTGATTTGATTATAGTTGTATGTATAAAACTATTAATAATGAAATATTTGTTCTATCATTTTTAATGAAATAATTCTTTTTTTCTCTCTCTCTCTCTATTTCTATTTCTTTTAATTTGCGTTTGAATACTTATTCGTATTCCCATCATTATTTCTACCAAATCGAAACTCGTGCGTTTATCCTCAGTGTCCCGAGTTAAGCAACGGATTCGTTCTAATTGTACAGAAAACACAGATAACACGGTTTGCGTGGATAATTTGTCTCTGGCTAATAGCAGAATTAGTTGATCGGGGGAGATTAACAAATTTGTTCGTCAAAAAATAAAATAAGAAAATAATAATCACGATTGGAGTATAGAAGAAGAAGAGAATATATAATTAAACGAAGGTGAGAGAGATCCAGTTTAGAAGTGCTCGTAAATTGCGTTACTTGACATAAACGCACCCACGTATACACTCACGCACGCACGCACGCACGCGTTTGCCAGCATAGAAAAAAAAGTGAAGTTCCTTTGAAAGACAAGAAAACGAGTTGAGATGGGGTAAGAGAGAAAAAGAGAAAGAGAGAAAAAGAAGAAAAGAAAAAAAGAGAGAAAGAGAGAGAGAGAGAAAGAGAGGAAGAAAGACATAAGAAAAGAAATAGTGGAACATAAAAACTGTGAATTTCGATTCAATTTTTTATGGTGGAAAAGATCGTAGATAGAACGAGGATTCGTTCGGTCGTTGGTGGTATTGGTGGTAGTGGTGGTTGTAGTTGTGGTGGTGGTGGTGGTGCTGGTAGTGGTGCCGCTGGTGGTTTTGGTCATCGAGGGGAAAGAAAAAAAAATAAAACACGAGTAAAAAAAGGAAGATAGATCTATAAGAAAAGAAAAATAAAGAGAGGTGGAAAAGAAGAAAAAAAAACGTAAGAAAATATAAAAGATTGTTCGTTGAGAACGAAGCATTAGTGAAAGAAATGCAATTTAATGAGAAAGAGGTACGAAACGATGCGATTGGATGGAAGAAGAGGTAGCAGAAAAGAAGAAGAAGAAGAAGAAAAAGAATATCGTCGTCGTGATCGAAAATTAGTATACTGTTGAGAAGATTTTCTTTGATACGTGGGATCGATGAACTCACTGTTGTGATTCTTCGTGCCGGTGTTGACGGTGGTGGTGGTGGTGGTGGTGGTGGTGGTGGTGCTGCTGCTGCTGCTGGTTGTGAAAAACTTTTATAAAACGGATTGTAAAAGTATAATACGTGAGATTAGAGAGACGAGAAAAGATTTTTCAATTCGATTTGAAATCTTTACTGTTAATCATCTGTTACACGTATAATAGCTATAAACGTAATATATATATAAATATATATATATATATATATATACACAGGATACAAACAAACACATATGCACTAAAAACAACACATTGCATAGAGAAAAGAAAAAGCGAGACGTTAGAAGAGAGAGAAAGAGAGAGAGGAAAAAAAAAGGGGGAACGTTGCTCGTTACGAGGTAATGACTTCGTAACTATCGTGTAAATAGGTGTACATAGATATATAAAAAGAAGAATAAGAAAAAGAAAAGGAAGAAGAGAGGAGAAAAGGGTTCGACGAGACCCCGCGATCGGTTCAGTTTGTTTATCGTAAAAGAGAGAGAGAGAGAGAGAGGGAGAGAGAGAGAGTCACGCTTGGAAACGATATTATTACATTGTCGCGTGACCGCGTGTACGAGAAAGAGAAAGAGAGAGAGAGAGAGAGAGAGAGAGAGAGAGTGGATAGAAGAAAAGAGAGGAAAAAAAGAGTTTAACAAACTCTTCTCGTTTTTTTTTTTTCTACGAAACTCTTAAAACAATCATTTGAATCGTAAACTTATATAAACAACTCTCTCTCTCTTTTTCACATATCTTTCTATTTTTCTATAACCTGTTAACACATTATTTAAAATCATTTTTTTTCCTTCTCTTCCGATAGTCGTTAGATAAACTATATTTAACATAGATAATACACCACTATAAATGATTAGTCATTTATTTAATGTGTACGTTTGTATATTTAGGCGAGATTACGCGTACGAGATTTAATACGTACAAAGCTTAGAAACGTATGTATATATATATATATATACATAACGAGGACGAATGTTGTTCTGCCATCAGTCAAATTTCGAGCCCCTCTCCCCCTCCGCCAGCCCACCCTTTTATTCGAGGATCGATCCGATCGCGGCTATTTAACGTGAAAAATATTCGGAGTATCTCGCGTTGAGAATATTATTGTGCGTTTATAATAATCGCGCCCTTTTAACGTTCGTGCGCGCGCGCGCACGCGCGACCAATACTAATATATATATATATATATACATATATATAGTGTCCTTTTTCGGCGGTTTATAATCCTAAAATCCGCGCAAATTCTTTTTTCCTAAATTAAACTTATTCTCGATCTTCATTATAATTTTTATATACATGCATCTTTTATATATGTGCATATATATATAATATATATATAATATATATATATATATATATATGTAAATCAACGAAACGTTTATCTTCCAAATACGATTCGGAAAGCAGGTCGGAGCAGTACGGGTATCCAACGCTTAGGCTTTTTAGTCCCGTTGCGATAATTAATTATTAACTCGCGGACGTGTCGTTAGTGCGAAATCAGCGTACGGGGTTAATTTCGAAGGTCGGGACCTTTAAACACGAAGGGACTAAGTACTTTTACGAGAGAGAGAGAGATAGAGGAACTTATAGGGTTCCGATAAGCAATCAAGCTTTCTTAAATTAACGAAGTATATTCTCTTTCTCTCTCTCTTTCTCTCTCTTTCTTCTTACACAGACACAAACACATTCTCTCTCTCTCTCGAATTCACTACTACCATTCGTGTTTAAGACTCGTATACGAGATTAATTTAAAAGAAAAAGTTAGGAAAAGGGGGACCAATTTTCATCGCACATTTTAATCTCTATCTCTATCTCTCTCTCTTTCTATCTCTCTCTCTTTCTCTCTCTCTCTCAGTTTTTCTCTTTCTATTTCTACAATGCGTTTAAACGCAAGCACAGTTTAATCTTTCGCTATTCGACTCATCAAATGCAACCCGAACTGTTCATAAATCTTTTTTCATCTTTTCTCTAGTTCCGCTTCTTTTTCTCTCTTACTCTTTATCTCACTCTCTCTCTCTCTCTTTTTCTCTATATATGAATACATTTGTTTTCTCTTTTTTTTTTTGTTTGTTTCGTTGTTCATTCGTTCGTATTTAACACTATCGTCGTGAGCCAGTGAATTCAGGAGAGTAAAGACGATTCACGCAAAGCAATAAATCAACGGGCCAATCTACGATTAAGACAACGACGAGAAGGATGACGTAGAGAAAAACGAAGGGACACAAAAATAGGAAGAGAAAGAGAAAAGAAAAAAAGAAAAAATAGGAAAAAGAAGGTAGGGAGAAAAAAATATATACATATATATATATATATAGTAAGAAAGGGAAGGAGAAACGAGGACATCTTTCGACGCCTTCTTCTTCTTCTTCTTCTGCTTCTTCATCATCGAAGGAATGAATGGTTTGCGTCACCTAGCGTCACGTACCGCCCCAGATATTAGCTTCAGAAAAGAATGATCTACGTAATTCTTATGTAGACGACAAAATTCAAAACGTTTTATTAAATAAAAAAAAGTTTATTACCTATATATATATATAAATATATATATATATACACGAAGAGAGAAAGAAGATAAAACAAAAGAGAAAGAAAATACTTGTTACATAAATAAACTACTACTACTACTACTATTATTCTCTGCAGTTGACGAGAAAAAACAACAAGTAGTGTCGTTGTATTTTCCCCTTTTTTTTGGTTTCTTCTGGCGAGTAAGGGTGGAATTTAAAAGAGTAGTGGGCGAGAGAGAAAAAAGGTTTTCTGATCTCTTTCTCGATATAAGAATGACATAATGCCGAAACGGGCATGACGGCGCTGGCCTCGAGATGCGACGAGACCACCACACTTCTGCTGTTGTTGTTATTAGAACTGGCACCGAGTGCAAGGTGTCGTCACCCAAGTTCCCCGATCGGGGCGACATCGGAAACTTCCTCGAGCAGCGGTGGTACGTCTTCATCGTCACCATCTTCGTCATCTTCCTCGCCGTCTTCATCGTCACCATCTTCTTCCTCTTCTTCTTCTTCTTCTTCTTCTTCATCTTCTTCTTCTTCTTCTTCTTCTTCTTCATCTTCATCATCTTCTTCTTCTTCTGCAACATCGTTTACAACTACGATTGCAAGAACGTCATCGTCACACGACGAAATTTCAACTTCAGCAACGAGATAGCATTCGCAGAAGACGGCGTGGGTGAGAGAAGTGATGATCCCGCCAGTCTTCGGCAACATTATGTCTAACGAGGACGCCGTTAGCTCGGCAACGGCGTCAACGAGGAGCATATTCGAGGAGAACATGACGTGGTATAGTTCTACAACGGTTCCCGGGACAACAACAACAACAAGAACAACTTCATCATTTTCTACGATTAACGTTGATAACGTAGAAGAGGAGGATAGAACGGAAATAATCATAAATAGTATTGCCGATTTTGACGTCGGCGGTTGGACAAGCGATTGGAACCAGAACGACACAAGTGAATCTACTATTGAAGATAGTAGTAGTAGTGGTGGTGATAGTAGAAGAAGGTTTGGTGGAAGGATCGGGTCACAGGAAGAGAACGGTACTTCGAACGATCCGATTGAGAAGATCGGCGAACAATCGAGAGGAAGAGGAGCAGGAGGTGGAGGTGGTGGAGGAGGTGGAGGTGTAGTAGGAAATCCCCTCGGCTGTGGTTGCGACAGAGAAGATTCTTCATTCATTTCAAGTATCTCAAATAGGAGTACGTTTGAGATCTTCACCGGTGGTTCCAGCCTTGGCGTCGATCTTCTCTTTGGTATAACCTCCGACACGATGGAAGAAGACTTTGCCGTGTCATACTCGAACGATTCCATCTTTAATGGGAGTATGCAATATCCATCTAATTATACTAATGAAAGCAACAACAACAACAACGAGACCTTGATCGTTTACGGTGATAGCATGTATCCATCTGGATATACTCTGCCGCATATCATATTGGCATCGATCATTGCCACATTACTGATGATAATCATCGTAGTTGGTAATATGTTAGTGATAATAGCCATTGCTACGGAAAAGGCATTGAAAAATATTCAAAACTGGTTTATAGCTAGTTTAGCCGTAGCTGACTTTTTCCTGGGTCTCATTATAATGCCCTTTTCGTTAGCCAACGAGATTATGGGTTATTGGATTTTTGGGTATTGGTGGTGCGACATTTACTCGGCGATGGATGTACTACTTTGTACTGCAAGCATCATGAACCTTTGCCTGATAAGTCTCGATAGGTTCTGGAGCATTACTCAAGCGGTTGATTATCTGAAGAAAAGAACACCGGCCAGGGCGGCACTTATGATTGCCCTCGTCTGGCTACTATCCGCCCTTGTTTGTATACCCCCGTTGCTCGGTTGGAAAAGGCCAACGCCGGAGGAGGATTATCCAAAATGCAAGGTGAGAATACATTTTTTCTAAAATTAAATAACTAATTATTTATCTTTTTATTTGTTATATCAATTTTTCCGCATTTATCGGAAATTCTTCTTATACGATTCTAATGTAAATCATAAAATGCACGATTGTTATTTATTCGATTTCCACCTTTTGTTTGTTCCCAATTCGTATAGCGGAATTGATGATCGTACGATTTAACGAGGGGAACAAAAATAAATAACAAATAAATAATAAGATTATTTGTGATCCTATCGAGAATTTTGTCGAATTTCTGGCGTATAAACGTGAACAAAACATGAGGGGGATTATCGTGAAAACGTTTGAGGTTTTTATCGTAAAGTTGGCGAAGAAGAAAAGGGTTGTGTGTATGTTTCGAGATACTACTCGTTGATTTCTTTAGTTTTGCTCGTCATGCTGGAGAATATGTCAGTACCGGGACTACCAGCCAAATTGATTTGTTAAAAGTAGTATTATATTATAAGTAAGCTCGTAGTAACGTTGGGAAAATTGTATTCTTTTTTTTTGAATTTAATCGATCGAACCCACCTAGCACGTCAACCATAATATATTAACCATAAACTGACGTGCCCGTTCTCTTTCGCTTCGATATCACTTTGAAATCTTGCACCTGGAAATGCATTAGCACCGTTATCTTAATCATGCAATATTAGTATGGGTAAAATATTACTCGATTAATTGCATTGATTATCGCTAAAATCTTATAATAATAGTCTCGATCGATATTTTCTCTCTATTATAAATTCGCATATTTGAAAAAAGAACAAAAAAAAAAAAAGAAAAGAAAGCGAAAGAAAAAAGAAAAAACAATAAAGTATAAAACGTACCTTATGCAATATTAATATCTTTGGAAAACGACGGTGGGTGTACGATTATTAAATATTGGAAAGTAAATTTAGTCAAATATTTCATTAATCAAGCAATCCACCGCGTTAACTTGATCAAATTAATTAATTAAATATAATACGTCGAGATGAGATTATTCATTTTATTTCATAGGAACACGCGTAAAAATTTAACACCTGCGAATATTCCCATCGTTGGATATACACGAGTAATCTTTACGATCTTGTTCGATAGAAAAAAAATAGTTAAGAATACTAATCGATAATTTATTATCGGATGTTATAAAATAATAATCGGTAAACGCGGGAGAAAAATGAAGAAGAAGAAGAAGAAGAAGAAAAAACAAACGAAAGACGAACTTTAATCGAAAATGATCGATTTTCTTTTCGTACGATGATGATGTTTATCGAATTAATATAGAAAAAGGTAAAAAAAAAAAAAAAACAAAACAAAACAAACAAACAAGGAAGTAATATTAAAGATATTTTGTCTACGAGGTTATTGATACTACTTGGGAAAAAAATTGTTTCATTTCGTGTTACGCGAATTATACCATCACGACGATTAGGTATCACGAAATGTGATCGTGCAAAGTAGAAAAAAAAAAAAAGAAAAAAAAAGAACACGTTTATATATTATATAACATATTTGCTTTTTTCTATCGTAATATTCTTATTTCTTGACTAATTCGTCACCGTGACGAATATAAGCCACGTTTGAAAGGAGTCTTTAAACTATCGATAATGTTCAGACCAGATCGTAAAACGTTTTGCAAAGTTCTCTCTCTCTCTCTCTCTCTCTCTCTCTCTCTCTCTCTCTCTTTCTCTCGGTGACTTTCGTGACTACTTTTACGAGCACCTTTACCACGGTCCTTTTTAATGCGATTAAATTCGCAACCTTCCGCAAGATGTTCTTACTAACGGAAGAGAGAGTAAGAGAGAGAGAGAGAGAGATTGATCTTTTAGTTTGAAAAGCTACGGGGATTTTATTGAGAAAGATATATAAACGAAATTTGTATATTCGTTTAATTTATCCCTTTATATATTATATATATATTTCTTTTATAACTTTGATAACATCTGAGTTTTTCAAATAAATCGAATATATATTTCTGGTAAAGTAATAGAGAAAGAGAGAGAGAGAGAGAGAGAGAGAGAGAGGAAGAGGGAGAGAGAGATAGAAAGATGAGCAGAGTTAATCGAGTTTGCAACGAAACTTTCTACTAACCCGGCTAGTAGAAGTTATCGTTGAAAGCATCTAATAAACGCGATTTTATATAATATAAATGGAATATATATCTTTCTCTCACTAACGGTTAAATCTTCAAAAGAAGTATTACGACAAAAGTTAACATCAACAAGAGAGAGAGAGTCCTCCCCTTTCCCTCCCCTTTCTTTCCCCGTATCGATAAATTTACTTTTTTATTTTTATGTTCTTTCGTTTTTTTGTCTTTTTTTTTTTTTGAGAAAGATTCGTTAAATCTCGAAGAAATCTTATCGTCAATTATTCGCGATCAGTTTTTTCTTTTTCTTTTTTTTCTTCTTCTTCTTCGTTTTTATATATATATATATATATTCGTTCAGGTGGGCCGATTTTTTTTTTATTTTCTGTACATTTCCTAAAGTAATCATTGCTTTTCGAAACGGCTGGGCGGGAAAGGGGTGGGGCGACGAAATCTTTTAATAGGATTAAACTATAATACGATTGGTTCGTTGGTTCGTTAATTCCCAAAGGATGGAAGACTCACGAAGAACTTTGGTCGTTCGTTCGTTCGTTCGTTCGTTCGAAAGCCGATGACAATTTTTCAAGAACTAAATGGGATATAAACTGCGGTATTTATTTATTATTGTTTTGTTATTTTTTTGTTGCTTTTTTTTTATTATATAAGTAAGACGTAAATCACAAAATTTTTGTTGCTTGATATTTCTTGTCAAACTAGATTAACAATATGGATGTTCGTATTAATCGTCATAATTATTAATGATATTCTTAAATATATGAATATGTGTTTACATTAATATATCGTATAATAATTATTGTTTAATGTATTTATTATATAATAAATTTTTTCTCCATCCTAAATACATTATATCTTTAATTTACTAGGAAAAATTTATTAAGTATAACTGTGTGTGTGTGTGTACGATTTTTATGAGACACTCACTGTATATACACGAATCAATTTCATTACAATACGAATTTCATTTTCCACATTATTGTTCTTTTATTTTTTGTTAACTTACTTCGATACCATATCCAACTAATCAATCAATCGGATGCATCCTAGGTTAATAACTAAAATAAAAAGAAAAAAAAAAATGAAGAACATTTTATTACTAGGATCATTCTTATCGTGATACAATCGTTGCTTTTTTTTTATTATTATTATTATTTCTTTCGAGGATCTCATTTAAAAGGAGAAACTATACGTATCCAGAGAAAAACGTAGTCAACCTTGACGAAAAGTATTTCGTCTTTCTCTCTCTCTATCTATCTATCTTTCTTTCTATCTCTATCTACTAGTCTGTGATTTTCGGAAAACGAATTAATGGTGTGCGACGAGAAAAAGTCTGAATCGTCGTCGTCGTACTACTACCATCAATTTTGGTCTTTGGTTTAGGGAAAAGCCGAGTTTTCTGATACAACCGTGCTACTACCATCTACCATCTCTTTCTCTCTCTCTCTCTCTCTCTTACTCTTCTAGTTTGACAAACGTTTCTCGAGATCTTATTGGATTTCTGCGAATGAGGGTAGGCTATCAATCTCCTCTTCGAAAAAGGAAACGCAACGAAAAAGACTAATCAACGAACGAGAAAATACGATTGTTACTTTATTATCCATTCTTCCACCCTTAACCCCCCCCAACCCAACTCCCCTCTCTCCCGGTTTTTTTCTCTTTACTTCGATTTGTTTCTTCGTCAAGTATCAAAAAAAAGAAAACAAAAAATTACAACTAATTAAACTTGTTTTTTAAGAATCATTCAATTAAAGAGGACTAACGTGGTTTTTTTTTTAAACGAAAAACGAAAATGCTCAGAAGTTTGATAGATTTCGTATTCCTCATTTTCCTGACCCTATCCCATTTCCTTCTCCAGCTCGTCGTAATCAAGAGTCTACGTTAGTTAAGAAATAAAATGTATTTCTCTTTCTTACATTTACCTTTCATATATTTTTTCTTTTTTCCATTCGCGTTTTTAATGAATTATACATCAGTGAAGGCTGAGAAGATAGGAAACGGCCAACTGTTGCTGCCTCGAAAATGTTCGAAAGAGCCTCATATCCTTTATTTCAATCCTATTTTTCGATAGCTTACATCTGTTGCGCTCGCGGCGTTTAACCACCGTTAACGTAAAATTCTAATTTGTTTTTTTTTTTTTTTTTAAATAAATACAAAATCTAATCGTGACACGTATCGATCTATTCTCTTTCGCAAAATATTCATATATAAAAAATACAATCGTTTTCTCGTATCGCGTATTTGATTATCAAAGAAATATACATTTGTGTTATACTTTATATATTATTCAATCGAATATAAGATAAAACCAAACTCTCGAGAAAGAAAGTTATTTAAATGAGATTCGACAAGCATATTTTTTCTCATTTAAATATTACTATTATAACACAAATGTATCTTTATCGTAGATCGTACTCTTTACTTTTCATTTTTGATTTAACTTGATACTTCGATCGAATTCTTATTCCCCGTTACCTTTTTTTCTTTTTTTTCATTTTCTCCGATCTTACCTACCTTCCATTTCCATTAACCTAGGAAACGTAATTCGATATCGACTATTGATATTTAATCGACTAGTAACGTAGTCAAAGTTACTTACCGATTTCTATTACCGGTTATTCGGAAAATCCGAATGCTATTCGGTTTAAATACTAGAAGGAACTACTCTACTCGTGATACTCTTAAGCAAAACGATGAAGAATCTTGAAAGCGAACTAAGAGAAAAAGAATTTTAGCTGACGTTGGGGGAGGAGTAATTTTCAAATCGATGGGGAATAATTGTGTCGAAAGGGGACAGGGATTTTAATCGAAATATCTCACGGTGGTAGTTCTAGGATACCATCGAAAAGATAAAAATAAAAAAAAAAATAAAAAGATAAGAAAATGATGAAAGGGGGAG